TATATATCGATATATATATATATATATATATAGAGAGAGAGAGAGAAACCTGATGTTCCTAAATATGTACAAAATATAATATATCTGATTGCTCAAAGCATTTCAAGCTGTGAAAATGAAGCAAACTTGAAGCATCTTCATGTGTGATAAAATGCAATAACAGCTACAGTTTCAACAGGATTTTTTTCTGTGACTCAGGGTAAAAAGTATCTTGTAACAAAAACAGTATTGTCTCACAGATGCCAGAGGATAAAAATCACCAAGTTCAAGACGTGGAAATCAGAATGCTGAATCCTATTTGTCAGCTCACTTCTCTTCCTCTGGCAACTCCTGCAGCTCTGGTTTCAAACTACTTTTCTTTTCATGTTGGAGCTGAGTCTTGTTGTCCACCAGGGGCTGGATGTAATGGGGGTCTGTCTGGAAGCGGACGACCCCGTTGAGACGAGAGACGAGACGGCAGGGGAACCTCCATGTTGTCATCTCCATCATCATTGCAGACTGGTGGCATCTGGGAGTCTGTTGGTCCGGTGAAGGGCTGGTAGGTGTCAACATCTCCATAAGTGCCCATCTCTATACCTTTTTTCAACAGGTGTGAGTAGACAAGCGTGTCCTCAATGGACGTGTAGACATGAGAATCATCGTTGTCCCCTGGTTGGAAGGTGGTGATGCCTGAATTGTAAACAGCCACTTGATGGTTTAACTTTTCCTTCTTCTTCCTTTTTGTGGCAGTAAAAACAACAAGATTTGAGTTTAAATGCAACGTTTTTCCAAAAGCCCTCAAATGGAGGTTTGATGACTCTTTGGACACCTGGGTTCGTGACTCATGGGACCATTGAGCAATTTGACAACTGTCAAGTTTTTAGTTAAATATGTCACTATTTACCACAAAAATTAAACATATCTACCTAAATTTAAGCTTTTCAGCCTCAGTAGAATTGTAAATAAAAAGTTTAAGGACTTACCTAACAATGATGCACACCAGTACCAGTACTATGATAAAAACTATGAGCAGAGCAGCCACCACGCTGAATATGATGATCAGACTAGAGCCTAAAAGAAAACAAAATTGATTTTCATTTCTGATCGCTGCTTTCTGTCAGTTAAAAATGGTGCAAGCGTCTGATGGTTCCATTAAAGCATGCTTACTCTTCTGCAGGGTGATCTTTGTCAGTGCGCGGAAGTGTCCACTTTCAGGCTCACAGTTGGACATGTTGAGGTAGAAGTTATTGGAGATGGTGATCTTGGAGCCTGCCTTCTCGGCCTCGGTACAGCTGTAGTACTCCTCGATGCTACCAACTCTCGACACGTTGATTGTGGTGTGGTTTTTGCTGCACTTGGGCTGGTTCAGGTTGAGGAACATCAGGTTTGCCTTCATTTTTGAGGGAACGGAAACAATCCAGGAGACGTTTGAAGACGACTTCATGCCTTGTGGCCAACTGGGGGTGGCCAGGAAGACAGGGCTGCTATTTGATAGAGACACCATGAATATGTAGTTTTCTGAATATCAGAAGGACAGAAAAAAAAAAAAACAACATAAAGTTTTACTGTCAAACATTTTAATATGAGATGCAGCTTAAACTTCTGTTACCAGGTATGTCTGTTTCAAAAGATGCTTTTAACAGAGGTTTGGGGTTCCTTAGTGCTTCAGTCCCCGTTCTGGACTTCAGAGTAACAGACACAACAGCATGGACGAGGACTTTCTCTATGGCTCCCTCAAAGCAGAAATCACCAACAGTCAAACCATCTTCTTCAGTGATTTTGACAGTGATACTGTCATTGCACTGCTGCTCAGGCAGGTCCTGTCTCAGGGCTGAGGTCAGAGCTACGGTGCCATGCTGCATGGGACGCAGAGTCCAGGTAACGCTGCTCAAAGGGGCAGGGAGGCAGGATGGCAGCTGAGGCACCAACAGATCTACTTCGGTCTTCAGACAGTCTTTGAGATCGCTGCAGTCTGATGGAATGAACATAAAGATTACAGAAAGTACATCAATGAGAAATAAATCCCGGACACTTGAGTTAGAAGAAACAAGACTTTTCTTCTGTTCTTGAAGAAGGAAGAGGGCCACCTGCATCATGAAGGACCCCACTCACCCAGCACACACACTTTTTGCCCTGCTCCCTTCAGGCAGGAGGTTGAGGAGCATTAAGAGTAGAACCACTAGACTGAGGAACAACCAGGACAATCACTGTAATGCCTCTTGATTGTTGATATGTTCTGCTGACTATCCATGCTGATGATCTTATGCTGCTGATTTATTTCACACTGCTGTGTTCATTTGTACTCATCTGCTCACAGAGACTCATGTTTAGCATGTTGTTTTTGTACCATTAGTGCTTAGTGTATTCTTAGTTTAGTGTACTTCTTAGTTCATATCTTAGATCTTGTTACCATTTTTATTTACAATATATACTTTTGTTGGATGCAACAGGGACCCTGTGTACACAATTTCATTCGCACTACATGTAACACAGTGCGAATGACAAATAAAGTAACCTTAACCTTTCTATGTATATTCTAGTATGCACCTCCTCACACACCTCTGTTAGATAAATATCAGCCTGATCCAGGAAATCTTTGAGTCCACATACAGGAAGGAAGTCAAGCAGCTGACAGTACCATACAGTTTCAAGAACCTCTCTAACACTTTAAAGACTGCTAAGATGATGATGATAGTGGACTATGGGAAATCCATATATATATTTTCTCTTATTTTTATCCTTCTTTCAGCTGCTCTCGTCTTCAGGGGTCGCCACAGCAAACTAACTTGCACGAAGACTTGGAAAATGTTTTTAGGCCGGATGCCCTTTCTGACACAACCACAGAGACCACTGAGCTACCACAGCCCTCTGTGTGGAGCAGAGAGCTGCTATCTAGGGTACCGGGGGGGTGGGGGGTGGGGTGGGGTAGTGTATCGTGTGTGTGTGTGTGTGTGTGTGTGCGTGTGTGTGTGTGTCCTTGTTTATGCTGCTTTGTGAGGCCCATTTTTCCAACTTATACTGCATTGTGAGGACCAACTGCTCCTTATGGGGCCCAAAGCCCGGGCCCCATAAGAAGAAGTCCCGTTGGTGGGTTAGGGGCTAGGTTTAGGACTAAGGTGTGAATTGAGGATGTGTTAGGTTTAGGGTTAAGTATGTACTGGTAATGGTTAGGTTATGGATAAAGGTCATGGTTAGGCTATAGAAATGAATGAAAAATGAATGGAAGTCAATGCAAAGGCCCCATAAAGATAGCAAAACAAACCTGTGTGTGTGTGTGTGTGTATCAGAGTCAGAGTTTCTTTATTGTCATTCGCACCTCATGTGGTACATGTGGTGGAGCGAAATTATGTACGCAGGGTCCCAGTTACATCCAACAATAAAATGTATAAGAAAAACAGTAATAACATCTAAGATATGAACTAAGAAAAACATCAACTAAATATACACTAAGCACTCATATCATAAAACATTGAACATCAGCACAAACATGAACATGAGTCTGTGAGCAGATGTGCACGCATGAACACATCAACATTGAAACAGATCAGCAGCAACATGAAACAGATCAGCAGCAACATGATATGGTTTTTCACAGTGATTATTCTAGTTAGAGATTCATGAGTCTAACAGCCTCAGGGTAGAAGCTGTTCCTCAGTCTAGTGGTTCTACACTTAATGCTCCTTAACCTCCTTCCTGAGGGGAGTGGGACAAAAAGTGTGTGTGCTGGGTGGGTGGGGTCCTTCATGATGCAGGTGGCCCTCTTCCTGCATCTGGAGGTGTAGATGTCTGTGATGGTGGGGAGACTGATTCCAACAGATTTCTGTGCAGCCTTCACCACTCTCTGCAAAGCTTTTCTTTCTGCAGCTGTGCTGTATGTATGTATATATGTATGTATGCATGTATATATATATATATATATATATATATATATATATATATATATATATA